TTTTCCTCACTGTTGATAATACCTCCTAAGTAAAGCCTCGGCCCTTAATCCTTGAACCAGGCTGTTTCCTAGGGAGCTGGGCTAAGACACACCCACACAGACAAATAGAAGATGAGTTTGAGTGAACTTAAGTAAAAATTATCCATCCATTCAAAAATATTTATTGAGCACCTCCATATATATTTGAATTAGGGATGCCATGGTGAAGAATACAGACATGTTTCCTGCTCTTGTTGAGCTTACCTTCAATGGGGAGTGGTAACAAATAAGTCAGCACAGAAATAAATGAGCATAATTACAGATAGTGACAACAATTTTAAAGAACAGTTTATGATATGATAGTGGGACTGGTACATGTGTGGGGATGCTGATCTAGACTGGGTGGTCAAGGGGACAAATAATAGGTAGAAGGAAAAGCCTTCTCTAGAAGGAGGATCAGGTCTTTCACAAAATGTCACTGGGAGAATGAACCTGGAAACAGACGTGTGGTATAGCATTGGGGTTTAGATGCAGATAGGAAATGTACCCCTCATTTGACTATAAAAAAGTTGGTCATGACATATGCGTAGAAAATAATGGGAATAGGGAGATTGAAGAGAGTAGAGAAGGGATGAGGGTGCAGACCAGGGACAGGTAGAAGAGTTAGTGAGCAGTGCCAGAGCAGAAAAGGTAGCCACTATGTGTATAATCCCTGACACTAAGTGGCCATAGAACTTTGGAGAAGCTTAGTCCTTGGTTTTCTTAGCTCCAAAATAAGGGTATTGATCAAGCTCCATGATTGCATGAAGGCAAGAAAGAGCTGAAATGAAAACTCTATGTAGCTATGTAATTTACCCCTTGAAATACAGCACTGAAGTCTTTAGGACCCAGTAATAATTGGCTTTCTCTCACCATTAATTATATTCTGGCCATTTATCAGGTAACACAATTGTCAGACTCCCTCACCAAAATGTCTTTTTCATAATTGAGGACTGTTTACAGTAAAGACAAACAATTGGGGCTCATTAAATCCATTATTAGGACACTGATTATGCATCTATTGTCTACTCTAGTCAGTTAAGTTCAATAAGCTCTTCAGTATTCATCAGAACAATTATGCTAATAAGCTTGAAATTTCCCAAGAGTATTATACTTTCACACACTTATCCTGCCTACCAGCAGTCTGGCTCAGTCAATATTGTCACACACAGACAATCTATCCTATATAATAAAAGGCTAATATGCAAATAGACCAAATGGCAGAACAACCAGACAACTGGTTGCTATGATGTGCACTGACCAGCAGTGGGTGTGCATGGAACATGGCAGGCGATGGTTGCAGTGAGATAGTGGAGGTGAGTGGGGGCACCAGACCAAGACAGAGCACTGGTCGCTGTCATCAGGGTGAGCCTTTGGTGGTTACTAAAAATTCTTTGCTACTGCGCCATGGTCCCACCTGGCACTTGCACCTGCTGTCGGCGCCGGCCCCATTCACACCTGCAGTCAGCGCTGGAGCCTCTGCTTGCACCTGCTGCTGGTGCCTGGCACCGGTCCTGATCGCTTGGTGCCATCAGCAGATGCCAGCCCCTATTGCCCCTCAGGGCTTCTCCACCTCCCCCTGCTCCTGAGGGGCAATCAGGGAAGCAGCTGCTGCTCACACCCACTGATGATGCGGGCCCCAGTTGCACCCGCTGCTCCAATCACTCAGTGCCATCAGCAGGTATGAGCGGTGGCTGCTGGCCCAATCACCCCTGAAGGCTTCTCCACCTCCCCCTGCTCCTGAGGGGCAATTGGGGCAGCAGCTGCTGCTCACACCCACTGACTCTGCTGGCCCCAATTGCTCTGCGCCATCAGTGGATGCGAGCGGGGTTGATGCCATCAGCACATGGAAGTGGCGGCAGCAGGAGCGGGGCCCGCAGCAGGAGGGGCCAGGCGGGGACGCGGAGGATGGGCCGAGACCCACCCCTCTGCCCACTGCAGCCTTGCAGCCCACAGTTCCTTCCAAGGTGCACGAATTCATGCACTGCACCCCTACTATATACATAAAAGCCAAGCGACTGGAATGATCGGTCACTATGATGCACACTGCAGCCAGCCAACTGGCAGGCCAGCCAACCTCCGTGGCCCCTCCCTCCGGCAGGCCAGGCCCCGATTGGCCCCCTATTGGGGAGAGCTGGCCAGACCGCCCTCCCCCCCCATGCACAAATTCGTGCACCAGGCCTCTAGTTATAAATAAGGCATAAGGCCCTACTGTTGACATATGACTACCAAATTATGCCCCCTCATAACAGAACTGTAAATAATTTGTACATTTGTTCTTTTAGGGTTTAGATATTGGCCTGTTTTCCCCACCCCCAAAATATGTAGATTTTAGGTAATATTTAAATGTCTTTATGGGAGTATTCATTGCATTGGCATTGTATTATAACACTACAATATTTGAACAGTCACTGAATTAGCTATCTAATGATCAATAAAGCCAATGATCATTTGTTTTAAAATGTATAAGTAAGAAATATTATATTGTCAGCTGTCTGGAGAATAAGAAATATAACTTGTTTTCCCCAAATATTTTTCTCTCAACAAGAGGCAACTTTTCTCTCAGTCTCTTTACCTCTTTAAAAAAAAATCCCTAACTCACCCAGCTGGTATGGCTCAGTGGTTGAGCATTGACCTATGAACCAGAAGGTCACCTTCGATTCCCTGTTGAGGCATATGCCCAGGTTGTGGCTCAATTAATCCCCAATGGGGGGTGTGCAGGAGGCAGCCAATCAATGATTCTCTTATCATTGAGATTTCTTTTTCTCTCTCCCTTTCTCTACCTCTCTGAATCAGTAAAAAAAAATATTTTAAGAAAAACAAACAAACAAAATCCCTACCTCAATGGTTTGTTTTTTTTGAGTGATTTTGGCCACAGAATAATAATTTTCCATCATAATCAACCATTGCTTTTATGATTGGCACATAACAGATACAGATAAATACTTGCTGGATCCTTTTTTTTGTATACGCTTTATTCTTGTCTCCATCAGATGTTAGTTTTCATTTTTTAACAAAAGCTAGCATGTGAATAAGGAGTGTGTGTGTGTGTGTGTGTGTGTGTGTGTGTGTGTAGGCAGGTGTACACATCTTCAATACAAATTCTTTTAAAACATAAAATTTCATTGTATTGAGATAAAAATCCAGCTGGTATTGAATTTTTTCTATCATTATTTACAACAAAAGTAACCCCACAACATTTGTTGTTTACAATTTTTACTTAGGTTATTTCATGTAATCAGTGTCCTTTCAGTTGCAAATAACTGGATGTTTCCTTAAGAAGTAGCAATGCTCACTGCAACTTAGCTCCCCCAGGATGAGTAAATACAGAGATCAGATGTTGAAGAGATGCTCAATGGCTGTATTGAGGAGGATGGGGCAAAGCTGTGCAGAATGCTTGTGGACCTACAACACACACAGAATGCTATACAAATGCTGTATTTCACTTCAGTTACTTAGTCTTTTGGTAAGGGTGTGGGGAGACAACTGAGAATGAGATGCTTTCCTTATCCTTCAGGAATGTACAATCTAAATGGGGAGACAAAACATACATACATGAGAAAGCTAAGAACCTTCTCAAGACTAAACTAACAGGCTGAGATTAATCAAAGATTAATATCATCCAGGAAAGGCTTTCCAGGTCTCGTAAGAGAGATAGACTATGAGTTGTATCTTTTGAAAAATCAACACATGGATAAATATTTTTAAAAATTCAAACTACAGAAGAAATAATAATGAACTTTGTTTTCCACTCATGACTTCCAAGTTCTCATTCCAGAAGCAACCATTACCATTTTTCTTATATGTCTTTCTGGTACACTTAACTACTTTTAAATTGATTCTGAATTTATTTTAATTTCATTGACTTTACAGTGTCACGAGTGATGAAGGGTTAAACTTAGTGTCTATTCACATAAAAATAAGATTCACTCAATTTATGCAATAGGAATCTACTGATGATAGGTCTTGAAGTACCCTAGTGGATTTCCCAGTTGATTGTTGCCACGGCAATCCTTCTCCATCTGCCTTCAGTTTCTGTCTTGACCCACTTTGGCTTAGACACATTTCTAGCAGAGGAGACAGTAGGCATGTTCCCATTTCAAAACCCTATGGGGACTGCATTGGTTGCCAGATTGCCCCTCCTCCCATTTCTTCAATCTCACAGATCCTAAAAGGATTCCAGAATGGAAGTTAGGGACTCAAAAGTGTGACACTTCAGGAAGATGGTCTTAAACTTCAAGCATATCATCTACTGAATTACTGTACCCTTTAATTGTACCCTAACTCCCATAGCAGATTCTTTTGGAATCCCAGCCAGCTCAGGAATCCCCCATCACCCAGATGGATACCAAATGTACATCCTGGTCACATAGGAAAAAATATTTGTGTGACCCAGGGTAGCTTTATTTTTTAAAAAAATAAATTTTTATTGATTTCAGAGGAAGGGAGAGGGAGAAACATCAATGATGAGAATCAATGATCAGCTGCCTCCTGCACGCCCCCTACTGGGGACGCAGCCTGCAACCAGGCATGTGCCTTGTCTGGGAATTGAAACGTGACCTCCTAGGTCAACACTCAACCACTGAGCCACGCATGCCAGGCCCAAGGTAGCTTTTAATAGGCTATTTCATATTAAAATGGTTGGCGTG